AAGGCAATAATAAAACAAACCAATAATGGAGCAGAATTAGAAGCTATATTAAAAACGTTAGATATATTAAGATCATTAGGTTATAAAAAAATTAGGATACATACTGATTCTAGATTTACGATAGATGGTTACCAGAAATGGTTACCAAAATGGGAAGAAAATGGATGGAAAACAAATAGAAAACGTGAGGTAGAAAGTAAGGAACTTTTTCAACAATTAAAAAATAGAATATCGGGTTTACAAGTAGAATTAATATATGAACCAGGACATAGGGGCATAATAGGGAACGAAGAAGCTGACAAATTAGCAAGAAAAGCAATAGAATAAATTTAAAAAAAAATATATATAATAATAAATAAATAAAAAAAAAATAAATAAATAAATAAATATAAAAAAAAACAGATAAATAATAACATCCTTTTAGTTTATTTTTTTTTTTGGTTACAGAAACTATGTGGTCGTTAGGAAAATTAATATTAATAATAACTGGGATAATAAATCTGGCAAAAGGAGGAGAAGACAGTCCCTTTATAAGGATCACTACTTTTAAAAAAAAGTAATGGAATCTATTTTGAATTAATGCCTAATATACAAAGAATAGTGGGAACATGGCGTATAGTAATTATTTTAGACACCGGAAGTTTCAAAAATCATTTACCAAATTTAGAAGAAAAAGTTAGGCAAGCAGAAATTCCATGCCGACGTCTTTTACCTACAAGCTGTGAAGAAGTAATGAATTTTCACGGAATAAATAGGAGAATATCAATAATTAGAATGCAATGGGAACAATTACAAGAAACAATAGAAGAATTAAGAGAACAAGATTACTACAAATCACAAGCACCCATTACGAAAACAATCCGAAAACGAAGTACACCATGGTTTGGATTCATAGGAAAATTAGCAGGCCCCACCATAGGAGTATTAAATTTCGAAGATGGTGAACGTTATGAACAATCGTTATTAGAATTAGACGAAGCCCAAAGAAATATTTCAAAATTAGTTGGGGAACAAACGCATTTAGTTAGAGCAGAACTACACAATTTATACAATATGGCAGAACAACAACAAAAAATCTCTGAACAATGGCAAGAAAAATTAGATACTATACAAAACAGGATAAAGAAATTTGACGGACGTTTAGACTACATAAATTATACTATCTGGGTGCAGGCCACAGCTCATAATTGGGAAGAACAACTAGACATCTACGAACACGCTTTAGAACAGACATTACAAGTAATGTATAGTGCTAAGGAAGGAAAATTACATCCCAGAATGTTAACTAATAGTCAGCTTTTAACAATAGCTAAAGAAGCTCAAGAACAATTAGGAGAATTAGTCTTTCCAGTTAATTTAAATAGAATTAATGTAGCCACTTTAGGAAGAATATCAATAGTAAACTCACAAATAAAAGGCGAAAAATTAATTATGACTTTAGACATACCCTTACTAGAAAGAGAAAAATACCTTTTGTACAAAATGCACGAGTTACCAACCCCACAAAAGCCAACATCACACGGAAATAGAGCCTACATTTCACCACATGCCAAATATATGGCCACGAGTGCAGCAATTAGAAAATATTTTTATCTAGAAGAAGAAGAACTTAACGTATGTCACCACATAGAAAACAAATATATTTGTCACCCAAATCAAGTAATATATGACTCAGTGTTAGTACCTAGCTGCGAATCAGAATTACTAAGAGAAATTAACATGGAAACACTAAAAAGTTGCGATATAAGGATCACCGATAATCAACAACCCCATTGGAGCCCCATAGTCACCACCGGAAGTTGGATATATTCATTAACGGAAGAAGAAACAGCTTATATATCATGCCCAAATCAACCAACTCAACCTTTAAAACTAACAGGAATAGGAATGGTACAAATAGCTTCAGGGTGTAAATTAACAACGATACAATTGAACTACCTGCTCTCCAAATAAAAGTGAAAAAACAGGAGTACATATATGAACCAAAATTAACTCTATGTTTAGAAGATTTAGCACCCATATTAAAGGAATACCCCAAAATACAAGATAAAACAATATCAGAAAAAATAAGACCTCCGTGGAAAAAGATGGAAGGAGATATGAAATTAGAAAAATTAGAAAACGAATTAAAAACTCAAAGCGAGCATTATTTAAGACAGAACAGACAAAATCATTATACTCATTCGATATTAGGGACAACTAGCATTATCATTTTAATAACTGTGGGCTACATAACATATAGCTGCATAAAAAAATACAAAAATACTAAACAATTAAACCCCAAAGAAAAAAAACTAAAACAAAAAATTAACAAAGAAAAAATAATTTACACTAACCAAAATGTAATAACAATAAATGAGGAACAATTACCAACAACAGAAAACGAAACTAATAAACCATCACAAACTGAAGAACAAACAGAATTACCAACTACACCAGATTACATGAAACCAAACTACATCGCCTCTCAAACAGTAGAAGTGCCATAAGACAACTTCATCAAATTTTTTTTGGGTCTTTTCATTACAATTTAAAAAAAAAGGGTCTTTTTATATATTTTTTTTACAACTATCATGTACCACAATCTAACAATTAAGACTTATTTTTTTTTGTGTGTGTCTATTTCTACTTTGGAACTATACGCAATTTCGGAAATTAACTGTTTCAAATTATCTAAACTTCCGTGACTAATTATAACAAAATAACAATATTAACAAATTTTCCATAACGCAATAACAATCTTGTTCAATAATAAAAAAAAAAAACACTAAATAATAATTAATCTGGATAAAAAAAAATTAAAATTCAAAGGTATTATATTTTTATTCATAAAACTTAAATTATAAAATGAAAATCAAATTTTAATTTTAAATCATTTTATTACAAAAATTCAAATATTTTAAAACATTAAATTTTAATTAAAAATATCATTACATGAATCTCAATTTGTTTAAAATTTTATTTAAAAAAAAAAAAAAAAAAAAAAAAAATTTAAATATTTTTATATAATTTAAAAAAAAATGAGCAAAATACGTTCACATGCAAATTTCTAGCCAAATCTCCCAGTGTACACAGTTGAAAAGAACTTGTAGCAGGGTGTCTACTGAAAATATGACTAAAAGTTCCAGGAAATTTCAGGACATTCCAGGAAAGATTTCTTATTTTTCCAGAAACCTTCATTTTTCTATTTTTGACAATAATTTATTTTTCAGGGTTGCTACAATTTTTCTCGAATAAAATTCCCTGACTTTTTCAGGTCTCAAACAATATTTTTCCATACACATTATAAGTGTGATTTATATAAAAAGTAATTAATTAAACAGCAAAATTTATGCAAACATAGCATATTTTATTGTTATATTAATCACTTCTAGAAAAATAACTCAGTTTTAAACATTTTTTCATTGGCGAAAATAAAATATTTCAAAATTTTATGGTTTTCAGGGTGTTTATTATTTAAATCTACAAATGGCTTTAAATTTTTTTTCCATTTTTTATGAATAATTAAATTCTTTTGAAGAATTTCTTGAAATTTTTTAGAATAATGTTTTTTTAATAATTTTTAATTGAAAATTTGGAAAATAGTTGAGTTAGACAAAGAATTTTTTAAACTTTTTTAAAAATAATCTTGTGTGTTTATAATTATAATTGGAAATTTTATTTTTCAATTTTATTAAAATTATATTGATAATAATTGACTTTCTGCAAGGAATTTGACTACATTTTTTATGAAAGTAATTAAATCCTTCCAAAGAATGCTATTATTTATGAATATAATTTTATTCTTGCGAAGAATTTTATTAAAATTTTTGACAATACTAAGCAGTACCTAATAATTAATTTTTTATTTAATAAGTAAATAAATAAAAATAATTAATTAGTAAATAAATACATTAATTAAAAGAAATTAAATTATTTTCAATAAATAAAATTAAACGTAAAGAAATTTCAATTAATTCAAAAATTTTGAATTTTTTGTTTATAAAAATTCAAATATCTTGAAACAATAGAATTAAAAATTTTAAAAATCTTATTTTTCAAAATTTTAAAAAAAAAACTTTGCAAAAATCCAATTTTATTAAAAAATTCTAAGCGTGTGTTTATTTAAAATTAACCAATAAAAATTTAAATTATTAATTTTGAAATTAAATAACATGAATACATTAGAATGTGATTCTTTGTAAAATTCAATTATTTATCAATTATTAAATTGGAATACTTTGAAAATTCAATTTGTTAAAAAAAGTTTCTAATGAAGTTCTTCAACAAATTTAATTATTTTCAGTTGAATTTCACAAAACTTCTATTGATTCCATATTTTTTTAAAATTTATTTACATACTTTATTTAAATCGGTGACTGATTTTCTATTATCAAAAAAAATAATTTTTACATAATTTTAACAGAAAATTATTTTCCAGGTGTTTTCTCAAAATTCCCTGACTTTTCCAGGTTTCCAGACATTGTAGCAACCCTGTTTTTAAATAACCAGATAACAATTTAATATTTTTTTTGAATAATAAATATAAATTATAAATAATAAAATTTTTCTGCAAAATTTAACTATTTTTTCTTAAATAAAATTATTAATTAATCAATTATTAATTGTTTTTTTTTTCTTAAACTTTAATTATTTGATTAATTACAATTTTCCTTTTATTTCAACAAAGCTAAAATTTTTTTTTTCTCTCCGAAATAATTTTTTTTTATTAATAAAAGGAAAATAATAAAGAATATATGAACATTTTTTTTAATATATATATTTTTTTTTGTTGTACGTTTCATTACAAAGCAATATATAAAAAAGTAATCAAACACCAATAAAAAAAAAAAAATAAATAAAACATTGTGTCAATTAAAAATTTAATGATAAAAAAAATAGTCTAATTTCATTTTAAAAAAAAAAATCAATTCAATTAACAAAAACATTTCTAAATATTAATTCTCAATTTTTTAAAAGAACATTTTTCCTTATACACTAGCATACAATTCGAGCTGAATTCACTGAGAAACCCAAACAGATGACGCATCCAATTTCCATCGCTGAAACATAAAACAAAACCATAAATAATTCTCATTTTAAAAAAAAAAATTAAAAAAGACGTTTTCTCTATAAAACTTGTATTTTTTTTAAAAAAAAAATTTTTTTTTTGATTATCTACATTTAATAAAACAAATTAAAACAAGTATATTGAACAAGAAATTATAAAAAAAAAAACAACACTCACCAGTTCCCATCCTGAAAAAGATAGGACAAGATCCTCCCAATCTTTTCTGTAGCGTTGAATAAACACCAATTCAAAAATCGAGTTTTTAGGCCGGAATCCTCTATTAGGAGGAAAAGCAGGCAAAGTTGTAAAAGGACTAAAAAAAAAGAGACAAAATTTTGTTAGTTTTCTTTTTCAATTTTTGTAAATACATTTCCGTAAATTATTAATTTCTTTGTACCTACCGAGAACTCAAATTGACACCCAGAAGACCAATAATCCCCTCCACAAGTTCGTTTTCCGGTTTATCACATAGAGAAGGCATCAGAAAATCTTCCGGGCACCAGTAGCAACGAAACTTATAACGACGCTCATCCCAAGACCATAAATACTCCTGTACCCATTGAGCATTATCGCATTCGTAATTTTCGGCATCGGCTAAATTCCTCTCAATATCCCACAAACCCACAGGATTATCCCGCATAGTAGCATTGATCCAAGCAGAAAAGAATACTCCACGCCTACAAGTTTAAAAATATGTATAAAAAAATTATATATAAAAAAAAAACACACACACTCACAAATTAATTAGAAAAACTTACCCCAACACACCAGACCTAATTTTCTTCCTTTCCTCTGCCAAATATTTATCTTTCAAAAATTGCAAAAGACCATTATTATCAGTAATATTATGACTGATAATATCTAAAGCAGCACTTAACACATCCATATTGTACACAACACCAGCCATATTTGACATAACTTTATAAACTCAAAATCAAAGAAACAATGTACACCGAATGACAAACGACAACTAATTAAAATCATAGAGAACAAATCCTTTTAGTAAAACACATTCGCAAGTTTGCATTTCTTAACCGTGAGAAATTATGAACAGAAATAACCGGACGTAGACGATCAAGTAACAAATTCAAATATTTTATTTTTACTATATATATATAAAATAAAATAATTTTATATTTTATAAATATATAAAGGTATTTTATTTTTTTTTTAAAAAAATATTTTCCTTTTAAATAAAGATACACATAATTCGAGGCAAGCTGTCAAGGGACGACAGCGCAAAAAAGGGGGGTATAGGGGTAGAAAATCAGACATTTTCCATTTTTTTATGTATATCAAAAAAAAAATTTTTTTGTAATTTTTTTTTTCCACAGCATTTCTTTTGCGGACCTTGTGCAAAAATTTTATATTAAAGAAACAGTGTCAGCGAACAGACAAAAATAAAATTAACATTATTTCTTTAAAATTTTGCACATTTAATTTTTTTTACAATTTAAAATTATTTAAAAATTTCACAACTATAAGTTTCATAAATTTAGTATAAGTTCCTGTCAAACAAAATTTTGAAAAAAAAAAAATTAAAAATAAAAAAAGAAATCTATTACTATTATTACAACAGTAAAAAAAAATCATACGCGACACACATTTTGTTCGGTAACAGCTATTTCATCCAACATATCAAATTCCAGATTATATAATATATAAAAAAAAAAGACCTAATTCTTAAAGGCAAAGATGTAGGAAGCAGATTATATTCTAAATATTATATCAAAATAATTATTCAACAATAAATAAACACTGTAATCGACGTATCACATTTTCTAAAAAACCGTTCAACATAAAGAAATATTCTCAGAAAATGAACATTTCTTTATAACCAAAAGACGAATAAAAATTCTTTTAAGACAAATTGTTACAGTAAATGCAATTATCGACATAGAAGCATTCTATTCTAAAAGATCTATTCGATGTACTCTACGTTTCATTTCTTAATTAATTGCATTATTAATAATAATTTATATAATATCTGTTAAAATTATAAAAACATAAACGTCAGCAAATAAATTGTTCGAAATTTGTCTCGCAAAAAGAAATATTATTGTACACCGTAAAAATAAGACAAATAATATCTAGCCTGGTAAAAATTAAAATACTACATAAACAATAAGAAATTTTATGCTTTTAATAAGTTGATTAATTATTTTAATTAAAAAAAAATTTTTTTTACCAAGCTCGATCTTATTAATGTGAAATACGAAAATGACTTTTCATTAAATAGCTATAGAATTTTTTACGGTTGTTTATATTAATAAAACAAACGCAAACTTTTAGATCTAAAAATCTTCCTAAAACAAAAAAAAGAAATAAATAGGAAACGATTTTTTTGAAATAAAATTACAACCAAAAGTTTGCCTCTGTTTAAAAACCATTATTTTCAGCAAAATCGGCAATCCAAACGATGTAAAACAATTGAAAGAAGGATTTATATGTAATTCTACAAAAATCATATGCTGAACATAAAGCTGCCAAGGGACGTCAGCCAGAAAAAAGGGGGGTATTTGTTACGTATAAAATCGTAACCATTTTATTTTTTTTAATAATAATAATAAGTGGGTTATTTTATATAAAGCCAAGAAGATAATTTATGAATTTGTAATTAGAATTAAGAAACACTAGATAACTTTAAGGTAAAGAAAGTCGATTCACCAAGAAACAAACACAATATATTGTTCTTTAAAAATTCTAATTGAATAACCATTTTTTTTTAAAATTCATTTTTTTAAACAATACACAATATTGTAATACTTGGTAGAAATATTTGGAAAGTATTGAACAACATTTATGTTTCAAAATTAATTCTAGTGATTTAAAAAAAAAGGTCATTTATTTTAATAAAAAAGACTGTGGATGTATGTGTTCAATGATTGGTAAACATCATACACCAGCATAAATTAAAGGAAAAAGAAAACATTGAACTCATATCACGCCACCTCGTAAATTTGCAAGCTTGCAAAAAGCTTACCTGGCAACTATAAAGTTCAATGAGCTGTGTGCAACAGCTCTCCCACTATTGAAATTCTACATGATTTCAAGGTGTGACCATTAATTTCAATTCAATTAAAGAATGAGTATTAATTGGCGTCTCCTGCGAGACGGTCGATTCAATTTTGATCGATATATTTTGTACTCCAAGAGTGGAGTTTTATCCGTAATTAATTGAAGCATAAAAGTGTTTAATTATTTTCGAGTAATGTGACATAAGTTTTACAAATTGAATAATTGAAAGTGAAATATTAAAACGGTGTTAAAGAAAATCAATTTCGAAATATTTATTAGAGTTTTGTGATACAGTTTGACTTAGTTTAATAAAAATTTAAGTTCGGTGACCCCGAAATTTAAATTTTGAGATTAATAAAATTAAAGTTAAAAGAAGGAACTACAATTTTGATCCAGGATTATCACATGTTTTAAACATAAAATAAATTACTGAGGAATAATAAAACAAAAAAAAAAAGAAATAAATAGGAAACGAAATTCAGAAGTAAGGAAAGTGTAATTTGTTCTCACAGGTGTGGGTCATTTGACACCTGAATCAGCGTTTTAATTGGACTATCTAAATATAGATAAATAAGACTTGGTGAGTCGAATTTTTATTATCTAAAATATATACACACACACACACATAAATTAAAGAGAAAAGAAGATTTGTCAGAAGGAATATTAACTGAATATTATATGTATAATAATTGTTATTTCTTTTTTTTTGAGAAGTAAATGTTTTCTAAGTGACATAAATATTTTTCTAAGGATAATATTTTTATTATAAACTTAACTCAATATAACAAGGGATTTTAAATAGAAATATGGTAATACTGATAAATATTGTTGAACTTCGACAAGAAAAATAATTGATTTTGAATAAAACTAATATCATTATAATTGTATACTAAAAGTGTTAATTTCTTTCGAGTACAATTTTCCTTTTGTTTCCTAATTTTTTATCATAAATACCGTCTAATCGGAGCCGCTGAATAAGAGCGTACTTAAGAAAAGTATCCACTACCCTTATTTAAATTAATGAATTATTTTTATTGAATTTTCACGAAGAGTACTTAAGTTATTCTCGAATGAATCAGATAAAGTTTTGTCTTTGTTGAGCCAGTCAACGTAAATTTTAAAATAGTATAATTAAATTTTGTTCAATTAATAATTTTTGTTAATTAATTAATATTTATCGATTCATTCTGTAACACAGGGGACAATTGTCCAAGTTTTATTTTGGGAAAGAGAGTCGAGCTCTTCTTGTATTGCTATTTCCCACTTAGATTTGTCATTGCGATTTTTTATTTCTTTAAATGATTTTGGGATATCACAAACAACAGAATACGCGCACGTGTAAAGGTAATCGCTAACATTATCCTCTTCGTTATAAGAAATTGGAGGCATGTTTTGGATTCGTTCACTTCGGCGCGGTTTGTTTTGGTTTGATACAGATTGAGAGTTTATGTCAACTTGAGGCGACGTATTAACTTTATTTGTTCGATGAAGAGTTTTGTTAATATTACTCTCTAGTGTATCACTAATTGTTGATATAGGATCAGTTTTCGATTTTTTAGCGTTGAGATTTTTAAATTCAATCTCTTCCACGTGTGCAATGGGCCTTGAAGTTTTAAAATTAACTTAATCGAAAATTACATCACGAGCTGTAATAATTTTATTTGTCTCAACATTCAGAACTTTATAACCATTTTGTTCATAATCCACGAGTATACCCTTAAATGACTTTTTGTCAAATTTAGATTTCGTGGTTTTGTCATGAACATATACAGTACAACCAAAAATTCTTAAATACTCTAACTTTGCCTTTTTGTTATTCCAGAGTTCATAAGGAGTTTTGTTTTGTACAATGGCTTTAGTGGGGGTTAAATTAAGCAAGTACGCCGCTGTTAGTATTGCTTCTCCCCATAGTTCTTTGCCTAGGTCAGCACCGTGAATCATAGCACGGGCCTTTTCGGTTAATGATCTATTTAGGCGTTCCGCGAAGGAATTTTGTTGAGGAGTGTATGGTACAGTCAAGTGATATTGAATGCCCTTTTGTGCACAGAACGCTTTAAAATCATTAGATAAATATTCTTTCCCGTTGTCGCAATACAAGTGGGCTATTTTTGAATTGAAATGTGTTTCACACTTTGCAACATAATCTTGAAAAACTTTTAAAACTTCAGATTTATAAGTTAACAAATAAACTACTGTATAATGTGTTAATTCGTCAAGAAAAGTCACAAAATAATTTTTATCGTTAATTGTTGCGGGTGTAATAGGACCACAAACATCTGTGTGAACAATATGTAAAGATCTTGTAACGTGATCTCTATCTCTATCTTTTGAAAAGGGAAGGCGAGTTTGTTTACCGTATATACAAGCCTCGCATATCTCGTCAGTGGGATTTATTGTCATTAATTTTTGACTATCAATTAATAAATTATTTTGTTTAATTTTTAAAAATTTTTATTTCCCAATATGACCTAAACGTGCATGCCAAAGTTTATATGTGTTTAGTTCATTGTTTATATCAAGTTGAACTTGATTACAGAAATTTTTATTTACAATAAAATTGACACATATTAAATTATTTACTGACTTACCATTAAGAATGGTCTTACCGTCTTTGCTAATTGTCACTTGCCCATTTTCATTAAAAACAACGCTCATACCAGCTTCCTGGATTTTTCGTACGGATAGCAGGTTGTATGGGACTTCAGGTACGTATAAAACATCTTCCAGTGTTCCTTTGATCCCATGCGTAGTCGTCACATCTATTGTTCCCTTTTTAGTTGCAATGATTGCCTCGTCCTTCTTAGCAATTGAAATTTTTAATGGTTTCTCCAAATCTGCAAGGGTTGTAAAAACA